TATACGAAATTAGATAGTATAAGTATAAGAATTTAAGACAACAAAAACTAGGTCATCTTTTTATAGTTCATTCCGGTCCATTTTTCATCTTTGCGGCTTTAATTAATGTGCGACAAGCTTAAGAATAAATCAACAAATAACAATAATTTTCTCGGCTTACCATTAATTACTTGAATATCGCTCATGGTTATAACCCGATAGCAATGTTTTCAAACTTTGTTGTCATTTCCTTATTGCGACAAACCGAAATTTACGTCCTTTTTTCCCCTGACTGTAGTTAGATGGCGTTCTTGTCGCCTGCCTGGTTCCGGTTGGAACTTGTGTCATGTGACCCCAGGTGACTGGGGCGACAGGTAGAACTTAAGAAAAGCGATGTGCGGGTTAGATGTGAGGCATTAAGCACAATAATACAAGTAACTTGAAAGTGAATGGTAAAATTAACTAGCAATATTTTTTTTTTTAAAGTCATTAGAAAAAAAAAAGGGGGGTGGGGGCTGTCCGTCCTGGTCGGCACTTTTTTCTTTTTATCGATGTCGGAATTTTCGGCCAACTTCATTTTTTTTTTTTTCGTGGAGGGGGCGACGTAAGCTTTGCCTGTCCCAGGCTGCACCAACCTTAGCTACGCTTCTGTTCTTAACCTTTTAACAGCGCCACATCCAATTTTGATTCCAAAACATATACCCCGCACCTCCACGACAAAAAGCCAGGCTAATCAATTAAAATAAACATGGTTTTTCCGGGTCTTTCCGTATCCTCTGACACTGCCTACCACACCCCCACCTGGGGATGTGCGCACCTCAGGTTAAGAAGCTCTGGCCCAAAGGCTTGTCATTGACCTGGCAGCGGCTTAACCTGGAGCCTACTAAATAATTAGTCTTCAAATTCAGCATCAATTGCCACCCAACCAATGCAGTTGACATACTTTGAGAGCATCATTTATCTGTAACGACATCTCGGTGTCAAAGACAGCCATAAGCCTATTTTATAAAATTAGTTTATTGTAGGCATATAGCATTCTCATTAAAGTGTGTAATTGTTACCACTTTTGATCATACACGTTTAAATAAAGCAAAGAAAAAGTATTCACAAAAGCTGAGATTTCCCGTTTTGTGTACAGTTTCTCACTTGTTTTGAACAGCTTTTCAGCTGTTTTGAACAGTTTCTCAACTGTTTGAACATTTTCTCAGCTGTTTTGAACATTTTCTCAGCTGTTTTGAACAGTTTCTCAGCTGTTTTGAACAGTTTCTCAGCTGTTTTGAATAGTTTCTCAACTGTTTTGAACAGTTTCTCACTTGTTTTGAACAGCTTTTCAGCTGTTTTGAACAGTTTCTCAACTGTTTGAACATTTTCTCAGCTGTTTTGAACATTTTCTCAGCTGTTTTGAACAGTTTCTCAGCTGTTTTGAACAGTTTCTCAGCTGTTTTGAATAGTTTCTCAACTGTTTTGAACAGTTTCTCACTTGTTTTGAACAGCTTTTCAGCTGTTTTGAACAGTTTCTCAACTGTTTGAACATTTTCTCAGCTGTTTTGAACATTTTCTCAGCTGTTTTGAACAGTTTCTCACTTGTTTTGAACAGCTTTTCAGCTGTTTTGAACAGTTTCTCAACTGTTTGAACATTTTCTCAGCTGTTTTGAACAGTTTCTCTGCTGTTTTGAACAGTTTCTCAGCTGTTGAACACACGCCCTGATCTTTTTAGGGATAAGTCATTTTACGTCAAACTTTTACGTCAAATTCAGACTGTCCGTAATTGTATGGACGGTTGGCAACCCTGCTTTCCTCAAACTACAGAAGAGCCACATGGAGATGCTACAGAAGAGCCACATGGAGATGCTACAGAAGAGCCACATGGAGATGCTACAGAGTTTTTATCGTCGGTCACTGTGGGCTATCATGGGTTATGATAGCAATGATGTTTTGATAGATCTCAGAATGGAGAGCTTTGATGCTTATGAACTAACAAGGCAGCTTCGTTGGGCAGGGCATCACCGAATGTGTAAGGTAATCTTCTTACTTCTACCTCTATGGCGAGCTGTGTGAAGAAAGGCCAGATAGAGATATCCCATAAAACTGTTCAGTCTTAAGCTTACCTAGAAGGAATCACACTGTAAAAAAAACACCCTCATATATTATTTATTGCATTGTTTCCTTAGATCTAAATTTTAACTTCTGATGGGGCTTTTATAGCTTCCATGTTTACACATATTAAAATTGATCAAAAATTTTTATGCCCTGATTTTAAGCCAATCAATAAAATGACAACATTTGGATCATTTTTTTTTTTTCGTTTATGCATTTATTTCTTGTATGTTCATCTTAAATTACGCTGTGAAGACATAATATACATGGCATGACGTTTGACAGGAAACAAAACACAAAAAATACACAAGAAAACAAGAAACAATAAAGAAGTATGCAATAAATGTACAAACAACCTTGAATATCTTCTTTAAAACCAAAGCTGTACATATTCAAATACAATGAGCTTTCCTATTCATAGACTGATCATTGCCAATGAATTAAAAAAAACAAAAACCTCAATCAGTTGATGACCAAAAAGTAGTAGTATGAAAACAAAATGGGACGATCATAATAACATGATTACAGATTTGGATCACTTTGACAATGTTCATTTGCCTACATGTAATAGTACTAATAGGTGATCGCTGAGAGAGGGGAGCCAACTCGTAACATGGGAAGCCATCACCAGAGTACAGCCGAAACACTGCCCAAGTTTATACTGATCAAACACAGGACATATTTTTAAATGTCTAAATGTTTTCATGCAGCAGGTCTCAAGCAATGCAGATAATTTAATTTTTTTAAAATTGTTACTTAATGTATTTTATATACAAGATCACCCTCTTATTTTTGTTTTAATTGAACTACATGAATTACTAAAATAGCTACTCTATCAGACTTTGACAATACCAGTATATCCAATTTCAATCAAGTGCAATGAGTAATTGCAATGTCACAAAAAAATCAGCTATTAAATCAATTCTTTTTTGAAGTTGCTCTCAGCAATGTGTAAAAATCTGTCTACTGAAATATTGAAGTCCACAAAAAAAAACAAGAGAAATAGTTGAGTAAATTCAAGTAAATATAATAAATACTTATGTCCCTTTGAAAGAGAACATCCCCAAGTCAAACCAAGGCTCCATACAATGCCCAGGTATTAGGATTAACTATACAACATCTCCTCAAGGAGACAAAAACTTGCCCATATGTTGACTATGAATTGGAACAGAAGAATGAACTCTGGCTACAGGATCATTGAATTTGGCATGCAACTTATGATTTATGTTTGTTGTTACACCAGTGCACCATTTATACTGAGCACCCAACAAGTGGTTATATATGGTATCAGCACTGAATTAAGACAGGACAATTTCTAGCTCTCCTTCTGCTCAACTGACATTTTGTTGTATTAAATAGAATTACAGTCAAACAGGGATTTCCTTTTTTCATTATCAGAAAACTTTACTTACTGTAAGTGTAAGGCTACATTTTAAAACTTTTGAAACCTGTATATTTTCTATTACACAATAACAAGAAAACCCACACAGACAGACATTTCCCTAGCATTTAGAAACCTACAGGCATGTATCTTGTGTCAACTTTTACCATAGACACATTCACATCTCCTTTTATGCTATTTGGTAACGGTCTGTGCAAAATGTCTGTTCAAATGTTCAAACAGGGAAAAGAAAATAAGGCCTAGAGAAAATTGTTTTTTACTTTTGCTGCAACATTATTAACAAAATGATTTAAGTTCACAGCAGGGATTTACAAACTTGATGATACCCATCAAAGCTTTACAAATGTGATGCTACCCAAAACAGCTTTACAAACTTGATTGGTACCCATCACAGCTTTACAAACTTGATGGTACCCATCACAGGTTTACAAACTTGATTGGTACCCATCACAGCTTTACAAACTTGATGGTACCCATCACAGCTGATATTTAAGGATTGCACTAATTCATTTGTTAGTTGTGGACAGCAGATGTGTGAAAATGTAAGATATAGCAATTTGACAACAAATTACCTTACACTGTTTGGGGCTGTATGGCAGGCAGTTAATATAAACCTACACAGATAATCAAGCAGGCAGGCAAACAGATGACAAGAAGAGGAGTGGATCTCTGACTGACTACATTTACTTCTATAAAGTCAGGAGGAACATTGTTAAGGTGATTCCCAAGATCATTCAAAGTTTCATTGTTGCACAGGAAATGACTTTTAAGGACATACAAGATGGTTGACAGCACTGATCTAATCAATGTAACTCCAAGAAATCATCACTATAGACACATATGGAATAGTTTGTTGAAACGTGAATCTCTGCTTGTCATTATTTAATCAATGTTATATTTTTTATTAGAATTGTTTGATGTGATCCTTATATAACGATGAAAGATTAAATGTTCTTTAAAATACAAGCATGAAGCAGTTATTTACAACTATCAACCTCGGACAATTTACACAGAACTAAACTTCCATTCCTGAAATGGCACAAGTTAAGTTGCATTCCATACATGGCAGACAAAGCTTGCATTCCTTGCATGACAAAACAAAACTTGCATTCCTTGCATGACAAAACAAAACTTGCATTCCTTACATCACTGAATAATAAAGTTTGCATTCCTTACATCACAGAATAATAAAGCATTCCTTATACGGCAGAACAAAACTTGCATTCTGTACGGTCCTTGCATGACCAAACACAAGTTATAATCCTTACATCACAGAACAAACCTTACAGTCCTTGCATGACCAAACACAAGTTATAATCCTTACATCACAGAACAAACCTTACAGTCCTTGCATGACCAAACACAAGTTATAATCCTTACATCACAGAACAAACCTTACAGTCCTTGCATGACCAAACACAAGTTATAATCCTTACATCACAGAACAAACCTTACAGTCCTTGCATGACCAAACACAAGTTACATTCCAACACACTAATGTGTGTTCAAGGTTCAAAGGTGTGTTGCGAGATAAAAATGTTATTGCATAAAAATCAAAAGTAGAAAAAAAAAAGAAACCAAGAAATTTCACTGAAATAATAAAATCCATACAATAATTTTCTCCACAACTGTCTCTCATCAAAAGTCTCAATCTTTTCCTTACATATATAAATGATAAGTAACTGAACTGTTTTCATAAGAATTTGAGTTTAGTTGAAAAAGGTTGGAAACAGCTATATTGCATCATATAAAAAATAAAAAAAAATTAAAAACAAAATATTACATTTTAAAAAACTATGTAACTTGAACAATATTTTAATCCTTTTGGGAGGAGCATCTCTTTAATTGTTTAAAATTCCTATCAGACCTTTGATAGGATATGTAACTGAAATATCCATCCCTGTGATATGCCAAAGACATCAGGTGGCAAGTACAGGAGTGGGCTGGTCATTTCACCACTGATCAAAAGGTAATATGAATTACAAACTATATCACAGGCTTTAATTCAAACAGATTTTAATTCTAGGCCCTGGAGCCAGATTAACTTAGCACCTACACACTACATTTTCCCCCCTCATGAAGGTCAAAGGCGATTTTTGTTTTTGAACAATAAAAAAAAATTTAGTTTAGAAATCTCACTTACATCTGCAACATTCACAACCTTAGGATTGACCAAACATAGTTTCACTGACCTTTCTTATCAGTAAGTTGGATACCCAACTGGAAACTCTAAATAACAAAATAATCAAACTAAATAATAATAATAATAATAATAATAAAGTTCATTTCAAAAACATCCCTAATCAAGGCTTGAAGCGCAATAAAATACAAAACGCAACAATACATAATCTACACACAAGCCAATGTTAACTTCCAAATTTTGCAAAATCCACTGCATACTTTTGTGTCCCATAATAATAGTTTTTTGGTTTGTTTTGTTTATCAATACACTATTAGTGTATGATGGTATAGTTTAAATGCAGTTCATAAGACCAGTTTAAATAACTGTTACCAAGAAGATTGCAATAAGTAAGATTTGTTTTGGCTGTATTTCCAGAGGTTTTGATCAAATAACAGAAAAAAATTAAGTTTATGACGATAAACACACATTTTAAACTGCTGACAAATGAAGTTTACTTTATGTGGAAATTCATTTAAATAGTTCTAATTGCTGACTCCATCTACCCCCTCGAATGTGTCATAATTTTGTAAAAGAATAAAATCGTACAAAGAAAAAGTAACAAAATTAATTAAATAAATTAACACTGTTTCAAAAATTAGTTAATTAACATTTAAATTCAAATATTAATTCTTCAAGAATAATAAGTTGCTAAGATGGATAAAGAATACAAAAATTTCTGGAACACATTCATTCATGTACCCACAAGATACCTGTATAATGCCCAGTTTTAAACACTAGCTTGGATCAAAGTGCTCAGAAGGAAATAACCTCTTTTTAGCATAAAATTGGCTTCAATTCTCAACATATGAAAAATGTATTTATTCATTTTGGGAACTACTGGCTATCCTTATGGCATTAGTGTTAAACTCGAGTTATCTAACTTTTATGATTAAATGTCCACTCCAAAGCAACAAGAGTACCACATCTAAATTAATTTCCAACATAAACAATTATTGTTGCTCTAAGGTGTGGACCTTTCTGACACACAAAAATAGCATTAGTAAATATTTGTAATAAAACATATGTTTTCCTTGATCACATTGACAAAATAATACAGGTGTTACATGTATGTTTATCAATTTGTAGCATTATTCTTCAAAACCAGGGCACATATATTTTAACAAATGTATCTGCTATTTCAGCCAATTCATAACCCCAAGCAATATGTGCATTACGCCTTCTTTCAAATGTTATGCATCAATGACAGAAAGAAGCATTCATTGAATAATCATGAATGAATACAATATTTTTTCCAATTGTTTCAGTATGAAGGACTAGGAGATAGATTTTTAAACCACTTATCATCTTTGATAACCAAGAAGCTCCTGGGTTCAAGATTGTTTGTTTCCAATCTCTTTTTGCTCAGAAAGTATTGATGGTTAATTTCATTACACACACACACACACATGCATCTCAACACTCACAGCCCATAATTACTAACTAGAGGATAGACATGATGCTATTGCCAGAGCTCTGGTGGGAATGTGCTGACTTCACCCATCTCATTGACTGCCTTGCCATTCTGCGTATAATTGATTCTCAAGCGCATTCGAATGGGTTGCTGAAGATGGATTGAAGTTTAAAAAAATGCATGATAAAAAATAAAATTTCAATGTATGTATGAAAAGTTTTGCCAAGTTTCAAAAATAGCATTTAGCTATTTAAGTTGAAATTAATTATTTTCATCTTAACTCTTTCATCTTGAAACTGGCATCGGCTGACCCAGTAATTGTTTAACGTGCTATGTGTTGTAAATTCCTTTTCTTTTATTTTTTTTAAAATTTGCATCATAGTTCAGTTTTCCTTATCAGTTTTGAAGTTAGTGATTGTTTCTGTTGGCACTATTAATTTTGTTCATGCTCCAACACAGCCAAGTAAGCTAAGAGTTAAAAAAACAAAACAACCAAAGCTTACTTTATGCATCAATCTATAACTAATATTTATCTATTAAAAGTATTAGCCAAATTATAACCTGAATATGAAATAGGCACAGAAAAAAGATTTAACCAAGAACATCCATGGGGATGTTTTGAAGGCACCTTTGAACTTGTGATTTACATATTTTTAAAATCTAATCATTTGATTAAGCAACAGTATATGTGTTAAGAGCGTTTGTCTCTGTCTGTAACTATTTCTGCTGTCCAAGGCTTTCTGTCCTAAATTCCACTTTTGGTATTGTTCTTCAGGTTTTCTTTCCTCTAGCCTGTGCATAATTCTAATTGATTGAACCTGAACACAGTCCTCCCAGTATTTCTTTTGTACATGTGCTACAAGAAATCATTTCCCTACCTTTTGTGGGTTACTCAGTTGTATAACTTGTGTAACATTTCCTGAATTGTTAGGCAGAAGCTTGTTACCTGAGGGTGACTGGAGGTTTAACTGGAATGACTGTAGATGGACATATAAATAAAGACTGATACAATTGAAGTCTATAGCCATTACAATTTTTAAAATATAACCAGAAGTCAACATTTTAAACATAAAACATATGACAAATACCCACCTTTGGCACAGCGGCCTGAAAGACAAAGTCCACCATTGGAAACAGAGATGAGTTGGTGGCCTTCATGTTGATCACAGTTTTTGTGGCATCATTATTGGCTCTCTGGCAGAAGAACTCTATCAAAAGACCTTCTTTGTTAAAAGCTGTCACAACAGGCAAGGCTGAAATAAGGAATTTTTGTTTCAGGTAAAATTCAGGTTTTTATACTGTTGTTTTGAAATACCAATAGAGGCCAAATGGCATCCCATCATAAGACAGTTACTTACGCATCATTTTACATAAATTATAGGTGTAGGAGTTGGAAAAAGATGTGAAAAATATACAGATAAAAATTTGTATATTAATGTAATAAAAAGTACACAAATATGTAATGTCAGGATAGATCAGAAACAGCAATAGCCATTTTTTAACACTGCTAAGGAATCTTCAACAAATTGTTTCTTAAAAATAATTACCACCTTAACTGGATTAAAAAAGATTTGAACAGTTTCAATTATTTATATCTAAGGAAAGGGTTAATATTAACAGAGCAACAATTTGGAGGAAATGCACTTTTGATTTGCATCAGTGGAACAGTTATAATTTTATGAGAAACCGACAGCAACACGGACTCTCCGCCGTATATATAAAGATTACTGATGAAACAACGCCAGCTTAGAGCCTTACAGCCACCTGCATTTATTATTAAGGATTACAGTCAAATTTAAAGCTATATATTACTTAAATACAGAAATCATGGTAATTATGATAAATCATTTAGTAATTCTAAGAATTCAAGATCGTAACATAGAATCACATCAAGAAAAAAACTTACTGGAAGTTCCATTGACAATATTGTTTGGATGTGCCACTGGTTGCATGAAGCTATCCAATAGGTCATTGACAGGTGGTAGGACTGGAAAACATGTTTTGATCCATATTAACCCATAGACAATAAGGGCACATACCTTTAGTTTAAATCAGAGACAGCTCTTTGTATTTTTTAAACAACACAAGAAAAAAGCTTTAAAGCAATTTATTTGAAGTGTGCATATGTGCGACAGGGAGGGAACAAACAAAGAATTGTATTGTTTTAACAAAATTGTCCCTACTTCAAGCTGTCAGGTGAACAATTAAATGAAAGTTAATTGCAATAAAACAAACCTGTGTTATGTATAGGAGGGATGTCCGAGCCAATATCACCCAGAAGGTCAAGCAAATCAACAGCTCCTCCTCCAGTTTTTATTGTGTCTATGTGAGTTGCAGGTTGAATACCATTAGTTAGGTATTCAAAGATGCCTCCATTCTGGCATAAAGAGACAAATCGGTTACTTAATTAAAGGAATAATCATTCACATAATCTCAATGTAACATTCTAAGCCTAATAACTTTAAAACAAACTTTTCAAACATTTGGTTAGAACAGGAGACCGAAATGTACTTTCCACTAATGCAATTTTAAAAACATTTTTACCGACATGAGAAAGCTCAGATCTTTTATATCCACACAAATGATTGTATCCATTGTTATAAAGCATATATTAAAATCTAGGATGATTAAGCTTTAATGAAAGAGATAAAGCAGAAGTTAAAATGTTTAGTCTACACGCTCACTTAGTTTAGTCCCAGTCCAAACCTTTTATAGTTACTAATAAAGCACTCGCTCACTTAAGTTTTGTTCCAAATCTTTATAGTTACTTATAAAGCATGCATCAATTGTGTCTTTAATTCTTTGCTGCATTTCTCAAATACATAGTTCGGTAATTGTTCATTTGAGAAATGATAATGAATTAGACATCTGAAATGATTATAAATATGCAATAAATGGGTTATATTATGCCAACCTCTGAGGGCAATGAAGGAGTCGGCACTGAAGTACGAGCAATGTTTCTTGAGAATGAATCAGAGAGCAGATTCAAATCATCCTGTTTCTCGTTAAAACCGGATTCTATGCTGTGTGGATGAGCCTCTATTAGTGGCATATGCTCTAATAATGCTGGCCTGAGAATAAAGAACCAATCTAATTGTTATTGATTCTTATTAAAGTGCATATAACTGCTTTTAATAAAGCATTTTTTTCTAAATATTAGTCCATAAAAGAAAAAATATTTTTTTCGGGTTACAATATGCCAACATTATTATTTAAATAAATACAATTATTGTCTGGATTCTACTTTTTTTTTTAAAGTATCAGAGTGTACGATTTTAAAATGATACTTGTTTAAATCATGCAACGCAACTAACCTTAAATGATCAAATTTGGAGAATAGGTTGGAATACTCAACAGAGCGTTGCTGCAGTTCTACATTTGTACTTGAACCATATAAGGTAATGATCTGTTTCAGGCGCCTGATAAAGAACAACAAAAAAGATTTCTTTATTCAAACTGAGTTTTTTGTTGTTGACAGGCCCAACAACGGGAAGCTGCAATTTGTATTTCCGTTAAAGTTAGACCATCTTTTAGAGTTCCAGGTCTCTTTGACAAGGGTATGCTCCATTGGACTTTGTAAAGTCACTCAATAGAAGTAAATAGGGCTGGACAATTTGTGACACTACACTAAATGTCCTGTGATAGTATTTTCAGCTCAGTCAGGTTTTGACTTACTTGAGTGGGTAACCTTTGCTAATAAAACGCTGTGTGATAATGTTATCGATGTAATTTTACAATATTATTATATTTTTGAAAATGACTTACATTGAGCTGCTTGAAAATCTAGAGGATAATTTCATGAGAGCTGTGATGACATACTCTTTGGTGACAACAGCAGAGTTATTATTAGCTAAAACTCTCTCTAGCAATGAAATAACTTCATCTTCAGTAACCTTAAGAATATAATAAAGTTAGTATTACACTTTGAAAAGATGAGTTGAAATTTACCACATAGAAATAAACTACCATAAAAATATATGACACCATTTTTTGCACTATACATACATGTTATATCAAATAGATTAAAAATCTACATAGGTGATTTTCAGACTATGGGTTAACAGTTTTTTTTTAAAATGTATCACATACTAACTAAATGCATCAAATTATATGGGTTTAGGCTCTCAAGAAATTAGTTTTCAACACAAAATTGGTAACAAATGAGTAACAGATTTTCTAAAATTAAAAATATTGATGGATCATTTAATAGAGCTAAGCTACGCATCTGGCGGGCCACAGCAGAGGGTACGTTTTGAAACTATTTTGTATTGAAGAGAAACAGTCAAGTACGTATTGATCATCCCTGCTTTTATTTGTATAGAATATTTTAATATATTTTTGAATAGGAATGTTTCTTTGTGTTAAATTAGTATATGTAGGTCTAGAGTTTTGTAAATTAATTATAAAATAACTCCTGAACAACACAAAAATTTCTGATTATCAAGTGGTGCGAAATTTCATACCGCAAACTTGTAAAATTCATGGGCGTTTAAGGGGAAATCACTAGCACTGTGGCAAAATCTTTGTGATAACAGCGGGTTAAAAATAGACAACATTTGCAATTATAGTCACTTTTTCATGGAATGTTGAATTTCCTGGATTTCATGAAGGGGAAAATAATTTGAGGAAATTCAGACTTTTTCATTTTTTCCTGATTGGTGTGGGAACCCTGAATATTTATCCTACTCCCCCAATCGAACTTTTTGTTCAAAAATATCTTTGGCCAGGTAGAGTTGCTGTAGAACATGGAAATGCATCCCTTAGTTTAGTAGGCGATGTAACCCCCATAATGAGCCGTCAAGCTTTACACAACAGATTATCAGCTTTATATACAGACATAATAGGTATTCAATGCTCCCAAAAGGCTGCTGGAGTGTGAAAGTTTTAAAAAAATAAGTAAGCCTTATAGCTTGATTTCACCTACATGTAAGGGTTCCTCATCTTCCACATTGTTCGAATTGATCAACTCTCCATACTCTCCAATACACCAAGCTGCCACCTGTGCCAATGGCTGCTGTGTAATATCACTGCGGAGTGCCCGGAATAACTGCTGCACCGAGTAGGCATGAAGGCTAGATGTTTCGGAAACCAGTTGGATGGCTATGGTTACAACATCCCCTTTGATGTAATTACCAGCCTAGAAAAGAAAAGGAGGTGCATTTTCTTGGCTGATACATTTTGATTTTAAAAACTTATGATTTTATCTCAAAGTATTTGTTACCTTCTATAAAATGTTAATGGAGGAATATTATCTTTCCGGTTTATTTTACTAAATAAATTGAAACAATTTCAACAATTTATCATCTATACACATTTTTATGATAAAATCTCTTGTAATATATATATANTATATATATATATATATATATATATATATATATATATATATATTAAAAATAACCAACAACCTTTTAAGTGTTTTTCATCTTAATTTAAAAACAACAGACCTGTTTAATTTTACGATTTTGGCTTACAATGTACGCTTTTGAAGTGTATACATTATACATACTGGTACGGTATGTTTATTTTTTTTACTATTAAGATAATGTATTGAACGATTTTTATGATGATATTGTAGGATTTGATTTTAAGAGTTTGAGGGTAAACAGGTCTGAAACAATAATAAGTAAAATTGACATGGAAATAAAAAATCCTTAATTATAGGGAAAAAAATCACAGTGCACTACATAATGTTCCTAATTTTAGACAATGGTTTTGTAAAGCATGGCTGCTAAGTGTATTTCAGCATATTTATAGCAGTAACTATTTGTCAAATCTTTCATAAAATCTAATAAAATTTGTGTAAACAAGTTTTGGTCTAGGTTAAATAAAGCCAAACATTGCTGGCTCACATTAACATAGAAACTGTTAAGTTTGGTCAAATGGAATGCACAGATGGTCTATTATTAGATTTATGCGATTGAAAAACCTTTCTAGGAAAATGACAATCAGGAAATCAGAATTTTACTTTTTTTTTTTAAAATAAAACATTCATTGCATCATGCTCACCATTTAAATTTTGTGAAAATAAGAACTTACTGTTGTTAAAACTTTTAGAACTGTATCTATATGCCATCTCTTGTTGGGCGAGTACCTGATAAAGAAATTAAGTTACATGAAATTTATTCAAATCCAGTCAGCATGTTTTAATGTTTGGCATAACATTATACCATCAGTTATCTTGGATGCCAGGGTGTCAAAAGAATTTAAGCAAATAGATTTTAAAACAATTTTTAAACGATTAATTTATAAAATACAATGCAATGTAATCTAATAATAATATTCTGGGATGATAAAAAAACTGATACTTATGCAAGGCCTCTCCTGTTTAGAGGTCATGACTGCCCAGCATATCTGGATACCTCTGAAATATGGCCAATCCTACCTATGTGTGTCTCAGGGTGCCTTCACAAAAGTACTTATGCTATTGTTGTACCGACCCTCCCCGCTTTTAACAGAAATAGATGAGGTTCTAAGAGCAAAGTGTAAAACATGTCATCTTAAACTTTCCCTGCTACCCATTATTCTTCCTTGAGTAGGTGTTCACTCCTGTCTTATCCTCCACATTTCAATACTCTGTGGTTGACCCATAAGTTTGGATCCTCAGGGATGTATGTTTGACCAGTCATAATGTCCAGGCAAAGCAGAATGTGAACATCATGTAGCAGTTGAACTGAATTTATATTAAAAATGTTGAAACAGGCAGTCCATCATTTATGTCTTTGATGTTTTGAAACGATTTAATAACAAAAAAATAAAAGAAAGCATATCAGTCAGAAACAGGGCATACTTCAGTAGTCAGAAAATACTCAAAGTAAAAACATTACAAGAAAACAAAGAAAACCATTTACAAAACTGTAATCAGACCAGTTGTAATATACACAAGTAAAACAAGGGCCCTAACAAAAACTGCAAAAACTCTATTAAACACATAGGAGAGAAAAGTTCTCAGGAAAATATATGGACCTACTAAGGATGAATATAGATGGAGAATGCGAACGAACCAGGAATTGTACAGTCTATTTCAGGATTCCACGTTATTAGCAGAAATAAAAAAAGGGGCATGTTACACTGGGCAGGACAATTAGAGAGAATGCCAAATGACAGAGGAGTGAAGAGGGTACATCACCAAAACTCCAGAGGAAAACGGCTCAAAGGCAGACCAAGACTTAGGGGGCCATCCATAAAAGACGTCCACCAATTTTTTGCTATTTTTTACCCCCCCTCCCCCTTTGTCCACTTTTGACTTTGTTGATATAAAATAGGATCCCCACCTCCAGCTGGATCAAAAANTTATTGAATCACTGTATTAAAAAATGTAATAAACAAATAATCCACCATTCTTCAATCAACGGAAAATTCGGACTGCAGCCATTCAAACATGTTTCGTATAATGACAACATCTGTTCTTGAGTCTTCAATTGCTAATTCAATTTGAGTGGCAGTCTCTTCGCCTGATTCGTCTGCCATATTATGTTCACTAGCAGGAATATTGCGATGGACGACCTTATGTTTTTTCATTTCCGCCTGTGATGGGAAATATTTACCGCAGAAACATTCTCTTGGAAATTCTCCCAGCCACCGATGGACAATAGAGATCAAAAGGCATGCTACTGTCACTGTTATCGGCAGTAAATTTGCTGTAAATTTATAAAAAACTGCTGCACTCAAAAAAACACTACAATGTGGACATCCACTTTGTCCTAAACCCCCTCCCTTCCTTTGTCCACTTTAGTCCACTTTTTGCTGAACCCCCCCTCCCCCCTTTTGTGTGGACGTCTTTTATGGATGACCCCTAGATGGATGGATGTGGAAAAAGATTTACAGCAACTGGGAATCCAAGCTTGGAAAAGAACAAGAGTTAGGTCTGAACGGAAGGAAGTAGTGTGGCAGGCCAAAGCCCTACAAGGGCTGTAGCGCCAAAGGGATGGATTGACGTTTTGAAAAATTTAGGATAAAAAAATACTGAAACTGCTGCATTAGCCGATAAAAGTATTTATTTATTATTTTTTTTCAAAACGCAATAATGGCGGAACAAAGCAGTCTTATTCTTACTTGGCAGCTGCTGTTACAATGTTTGAACAGCAATCAGATTTGAACTCTGGGTCACAGGTTTCAAGAAAGAGAAGAAGCTCCTTCATCATTCCTCTAACATTGTTGTGGTTTATCAGGGCAAATGACAGCTCTATTGCACGTCTAATGAAATAAAATGAAAAAGTTTTAATCATGATCAGTTCCAATCTGTTAAATTAAATTGTAATAATGTTCTAAAAGTAATATTTTCTGACATGGCTTGGGAATCGAAATATTAATATTTGCCAAACATACATCCAATGAAAGATATTTGAAGCTCTAAAATGCTAGATTAAACTTACCTCCTAATAGATATATCAGGATCTTTCAAACAGTCCACTATGGTTGTCCTGTGCCTTTGTACAGCATTGTAATCTGCACTTACCACACGCAACAGCGTATTCAAAGCCACATAACTAGGGGAAAGAAAATAAATAAATGTTGAAGTAATGGAAAAAAAAATCAGCTTACAAAAATGCTCCATAAAAGTTTAAACTTGTACTCATTTTAACTGGCATAGCCTAAAAATAATCTATTCCTCACATTTATTAAGTTTTTAACTTGTTGCACTCACACTTGATTTTCTTATTCGCCTATAATATAAGCATAAGCTAGTGTATGATCTTCCTAAATTATAAAAGAAATCAACCTGTAAAATCGAAGTATCATTTACCAAAAAATAGCATGACTAACATATCATGGTTAGAAATTGTTTCTTCTTCTTCTATATATTAAGGGCCCACGATCAATTTATTGATCATTTTGGCTCCTATGCATGTAGATGGGATTTGCAATGTTTCTGTTCCTGGTGTTGATGAGGAAATTTCACAGATTTCCAGTGCCACTTTGTGAGGAAATCATGCACTAGGGGTTTGAAGGCTTGAGGCAATAGACACAAATGTGTCTAGTGTTGTCGCCTCAACCGTTCCTTTTGAAAGATTGTTCCAGTCCCTGATTGTCTTGGGCAGGAATGAGCAGCTCCTATACTGGCTTCTTGCTGGTATGAGCCTGAATTGCCTGTCATGGCCTCGTCGCTGTCTATGGGGGAGAGGGACGAGTTTCTGTTTAATACTGGAACAGTGGACCAGCCCATTATTTATCTTGTACATCATGGAGAGCCTGGATTGTCGTCGTCGTTTCTCCAATGGTGACCAGCCTAGTGTTTCTAGCATGCTGCCAACACTAGAGGTATTCCTGTAGCGGTTTAGGACAAAGCGTGCTGCTCGTCGCTGGACCGCCTCCAACCTGTCAATGCTCTTCTGGGTAAATGGGTCCCAGACTGAAGATGCATAATCTAAAATCGGACGGATAAAGGCTTTATATGCTCTTTCTTTCACACAGGAGTTGCCAATCTTTAGATTTCGCCTTAAGAACCCTAGGGTCTTGTTTGCTTGGTTACATACATTGTTAATATGCTCGTCCCAGCGGACCTCTCTTTGAATGGTAACACCCAGGTACTTTACGGAGGAAACTTGCTCAAGTATATGGCCGTGCAGTTCGTATTGGTAGTGTAGAGGAGTACAACTTCTAGAGATTGATAGTGTCTGGCACTTGGCAGGGTGAAATTCCATGTCCCAGCTCATCTCCCACTCAGCTAACAGATTGAGATCCTGTTGTAGCTGGTCCTGGTCAGATCTGTTGGCGATCGTCCTATACACTGCTGTGTCATCTGCAAACAGTCTTGCCTGTGATGTCAGTTTCTCCGGTAGGTCATTAATGTATGCTAGGAACAAACAGGGGCCCAGGACTGATCCCTGGGGGACCCCTGACTTCACATTGACAAAGGAGGAGCTTGTACCGCCCACCACTACTGCTTGGCGTCGGTGGCTGAGGAAGCTAGAGATCCATGTTTTAGTGGTGCCTTGAATCCCATATATCTGGAGTTTGTGTAGAAGCAAACTATGATTCACCCGGTCAAATGCTTTTGCGAAGTCCATTACTAGCACGTCAGTCTGCTTGTGGTTCTCCAGATTGGTCATCAAGTCTTCTACAAATTCGAGAAGCTGGGTCTCACATGACCTATTGACTCGGAAGCCATGTTGACAGTCATTGAGTATATTTTGGCTTTCAAGATGCTTCATGACAGAGCTTACGATTATGTGCTCCAACAGTTTGCAGACCTGTCGTAAGTATTAATACCAATTCACTTATAATTTCATGTTATTTTCATATCTTACTTCCATAACAACACAACTTTATGTACAAAACTTAATTTAGTTGACAACTTTCTAACCTAAAAGAAAACTCAACTCTTTAATAGACAATTTTTCTGACAAAATACAATATTCACAATAAGAAATCCGACGCTCACCGGATGTTTTTATCATTGTTCAAGAGAAATCTGCCCAAAATGTTGACAGCAAGGACCTAGAAAGAGAAATCAAGGCCAAAATGTAAAACATATGCTATATACTTTTACAAAACTTCATTTAATTAATTTAAGAGGGATAATCTTAAACTAAAAATGCATCAACTTGATTAAAAGTTACAACTCACTGAAATAATCCTAAGCTAGCTTAGCACAATACTCACCCGCAGTCCAGCCTCTGACTGTATGCCCATTATTGTGAGTACAATCTCATATAAAATTGCATGACCCACATTTTTACTTGTATCAGTGTTAGTTGCCACCTGATTGGTTAAAAAAAGGTTACAATTATAAAACTGAACATAAAAAACAATATCCTAATTATGTAAAATTTGGGTGCAAAAACACAAGTTTCCAACAAATATCTGAATTTTATTTAGTTAATGGTTGCCTTTTCAAATCCCAGTGGAGCTTAGGTCATTAACAATTTCTTTGCAAGCTTTCCAGTCTATAGTTACCTGAGCTAAAATATCATTCATTGTTTCACTGGCCTCTGCATCATTGTGTCCCAGAATTCGCAAAAGTCTCAAGATTTTTACCTGTAGAATAATGTACATGCACATTCCCCACATTAGTTGCGTATCATAACTTTAAAAATTATTAAATAGAACAATTAACAAAATGATTATGAAAAAATGAAGTGAAAACAAGATACAACAATAGCCGTAACTTTTCGTCACCTTATTGATTTTCTGACAAGTAGAGAGGGCGAATGTGACAAACCTGTAAAAATGGATCACTGACACCAGAGACATCATGTTCAGGTGAATAGCCAGCCATAATAAGGTTTTTGAGAATTCTTACTAGCTGAGGCACCAACTGAGAATAAGAGCAATGAAATTGTTATTTTTGTGTTGGATCCTATACTATATTTAATTGACTAAAATTCATAAATTGCTTTACTTCCTGTTTACATGCAGTCAGCATGTACATCACTTTCTTCTTTCTTTCAGTCCCTTAACAACTCTATCATTGCAAGCTCACAGTTTATTCTCTTAACAGCTCAATGAGATCAAGTTATTTTATCTTTTTACTATAAGCTTTACTGTTGTTTTGTTGGTTGAAGAAGGCTTTTTGCTGACATGTTCGTTGTTTTGTATTGACTTCTTTCCTCAAATATTGACATCTTATTTATCAAGGGAGACAAACTGAAGCTAACAACAAAACACCCTAAATGGTATTTTTGTAAAAAGGGCAGTCACATAAAAAAAAAATTATAACTGAAGATACTGTTTAAAAGCTGTGTCTTTTATCTAAAATAATAAATCACAATAATGGCATTCTTAATTAGTCCAAAAGAAGTGAACATACTATGGTCAACTATAAGCATTTCTTTTAAGTAATCTAGGCACTAACCTTTCTAAAGTGATGTAAGGTGTCTGGACTTTTTTCACTCATTTCTGTGATGAGACAAACTGCAGTCAAGAGAACACCTGCAAGGTACCAAAATAAGGCAAAAACATTGAAGAATCAGTTAGAGCAATCATTAGAAAAAACAAAGAAATCCTCTCTTACTAAACAATAATTGCCATATCCTAATGTTAGTGCTTACCATGATTTTTTTCATTTAACAAGGACCTGGTGGCTGGAATGTACATTTCCATCAAGTCTGGAACTTTCCGGATGATGCCAAATGCACACAAAATCGCCTGAAAAATTCAATTGTCAGTGTTGAAGCAAGAGAGAGAGAAAGAGAACACTCCAAATCACGGCCCTCTTAATACTTAGTAGTTAGAGCATAGAACAGTCCATTGTAATACATGGGTGTATAACTGACTCAGACAGCAGAGCGAAAGATGTATCATTTTCACTTTCTCTATCAACTTTTTAATGCATTCATGTTATATTTGGACAAAAAAGTGCGACAGAGTGAAGCCGTAGTGAGAAGTGGAGAGGGACGACTGTCTCTATAATGTTGACCTGGGCAGCAAATGTTCCATATAATTTAAAGCATGCAAAATGTTTTGAGCAATGAAATGATTTGCTCAGCATCCAAATTTAAAATGTTGGTGGTGTATTACTACTATACATTGGCCTGCATCACCATTTGAAAGTATTATTTAACTCATTCGCCATCATTCCAACTCAATACATACTTTGTGGGTCCCAATGGATATGACTGAATGCATCCTGACACAGCGCTCATAATTTTTTTTAAAAGCAGCAAGGAAATTATACACCTTAAACTGTATCCATTTCTGGATGCATTTGTCCTTAGTTTGTTAAATTTAATTAATATTTAGCATCTTAAAAAACTTGGACCCAAACATAAACAGTAGAAAACCTATCAAACACGAGTTCTCTGGGAAATATATGGACTAAAGGATGAATACAGTTGGAGGATACATATGGAATTGTATGAGCTATACCAGGATCCCACACTAGTAGCAGACATAAAAAAGGACACGCTGCGATGGGCGGGACACTTAGAAAGAATGCAAAATAACAGAGTGAAGAGGATGCACATGCATTAAGCTTATACTTATAGGGAATTTTAGCAACAACATTCACTTACTTTAGTGATACAATTCAAAATATAACAAAAACAAGTTTTAGAAAGCATCACAAACCTTCTTTTTAATGTAGGCATTGGATGACTTGATCATCTTTTCAACCTCCCCAGCCAGATCTCTGCTCATCTCTGTTGAACATATTGCGCCAAGGGTGCACAATGCCAAGCTTTGAATGTATTGGGTCTGATGGCTAAGATCACTGAAATTAAAAGGTTGAAATCTAAATTATTAGTAGCAAATTCACCATTCCATTTAATGAAAGTTTCAGCAGTTGAAAATCTTAAAATACAACCGTCAAACTTAAATCTGGTTTATTACACACATGAATCTTAATTATTGGTTAACCACTAATGTATATGAAAAATCAATAAATCTAGTAAGCTGGTAATAGATATTTAACAATCATATGTAACTGCACTTTAAACAATGAGTAGAGTCTAGTAAAGAAAGAACTCACTTTTTTAAAGAATTGGTAATAAGCAAGTGCACATCTTGCCTCTCATCCAACAGTAACATGGCACCCAGGTAGCCTATTCTTTTGTCTGTGAATCTTGATGAGGCTATCAATTTCATGCATTCAAGCTAAAAAGACAAATTAAGACATTTTACTACAACTGCCGCACGCAAAAATAATTTAAGAGAGGTAAGTTCTAATTTATGTTTGGGTAAAAAATATTTAAAATGTATCTAATAAAATTCATAACCCTACAATAAAAATTAAAGCTAACAATATAAAAAGAAGTTTGCTGGTCAGGTGTCCAAATCCATTTTTTGCACCCAGAGGTGTTCAGAATTGTTGCAGGCACCATTAACCATTTCATGGCAAATGTATATTAGAAAATATTAAATAAATTAGTAAATAGCAAAAGAAACTATAATGAGGGCAGGGAAAATGCAGTCGTGTTCATAAGAGACAAAATGGTGCCCAGGAGCACAAGGCTGGGGACCATGGCCGAAAATTTCAACCCTATTTTATATTTCTCTATTGATTTTATATAAAATGCAACCAATACCTGTCCGAAATGTGCAGGATACCCAAGCATGTGAATATAGAGGAGCTTGGCAACATTCCGACAACGGTAGGTATTATCCTGATCCCTAAAAGAATCTCGAATTGTAGCACATTCTTTGTTGACTACAGCCCTTTCGTCTGCTGCAGTTCTTGAAGATCGGATTTCTCTTATGAGATCTCTGAGCCGTTTAGGAACTGGCGTGCTGACCGCCTATGAAATAATTTTTTTCTTCATTCATTAAAAACACATAAGAAATGACTAAAGTGAATATATAAGCATATGAAAGCTTTATAATACAAGCTATCGTATACAAAAACGAGTGCCCTAATCTTAATAATAGAGCAATGAAATCATTAAAACTTTGTCCCAAGGGTAATTAATAAAACTAACTTTTCGAGCAATTAATTCTTATTATTACCTTTAAAACATTCATTATTATATTAAGGTTGTTTGCATGGAAGTCTTTCACCTTCTAAGGATAGCTTACTTTAGAGGCTGAAAAGAAAATAGTTTGCAATTAGATAACGTCTATAAACAATCATATGCTCCCCCATGTTAAAACTGGTAAAAATCACTAAGGAGTCTTCTTTTTAGAAAGTATTTGGTCATTCAATAGACTTTTTATTAAACTTTATCCATTTATGGATACCTATGGCCATGTCTTTAGTTTGTTATGACAGTTTACTATTTTGACTTTTTAAAAATAGCTCATTTGAAAATATATTCCTTGATCATGAATCGAAATAGGAAGAAAGTTTTAAAACTTTGGACAGTAGGAATGAGTTAAATCTTTAAGTCTTATTTAACCCTCTTGAAACAAACAAAGCATTTTTGGACTATCAGTGCCAAGAAGATGGAGCCCTTTTCACAAGCCCAGTACTTACTTTGCAAAAATTAATAAAAATTAAGTACTACTTAACAAACATTCAACCAAATATATTATTGGAGGAATTAGAATAAACTAATACAAAATTTGTATGAATCAAACTGAAATATCAACATTTATGCAAATGAGATAGGCCGGGGATGGGTAGGACGAGGCGCGTAATAGGCATAATTTGCTATGGGTAATGTGCAATAGGGGTGTGCCGGATCCGTTTTTTCCAACCGGATCCGGATTTTCTTATGCGAAATCCGCCGGATCCGGATTCCGGAATAATCAGGATTCCGGAGTTTGGTACTATTGGTAGATACTTCGGTAAGTCAAGGTGGACTACTACTTTTTGTGTATGGGAATTCGCAATTGGCGCCAAAAAATCCGAGTTTTTAATTGTCCGATGTGTGTGTCTATTTATTATTAAATTAGTACTTTCGATATATATTTGAGTTCCGTTCCATTTGGATAAGTGTCTTACGAGAGACGCCATGTTTCTACGCGTTCGCAGCAGGTCATGCAGCTCGCTCAACCTAATTTCGCCATGGGGTTGGCCACGCCCCCCTTTTTAATGGCGGAAGTTGACGATACTTAGGAAATATTAATTTATTATCACTATTTACATCAAAATAATTGATAACTTGTGTTTCAGAATGCATTTAAAGACATTTAAACTGGAATGTTTTAATTTGAGCTTTAACAACCCGGTAGAATCCATATTATAAATGATCAGAATTTACCGTGTGCAACACGTTGTCATTGGCAACCATTCACAGCCACTTGCATAACTGTATCGTAGTACTACCTCAGAGTTTCATTCATAAGAGTTTGCCGTGTGCAAAAACTATTAAACCATTGGTCAGGGAAAGCTTTAATTAATTATTCATGTGCCAAAGTTGAAAGTTTAAACTAAGTCTAAACAGTATTTTAGTGATAAGGCAGGGAATGCGTTGCCTTATATAAACTATATAGTCATTGCGCATGACGGGATTGGTGGAATGAGATCACAGAATGTGGAGATGCAGTCCATGTTAAAAAATGACAAACCAAGTCGTACTTTAAAAATTCATAACTTTAAAACTACAACAGCTAAAAATATGATTTTGGTGTTATAATTCTTTAAAAAATTACATCTTTTCAACTATGCCATTGGTTTATTTTTACAAAAAGTTTAAATTTTCTTATCAAAGTCCCTACACTATTGGCCACTATTAGCGGTGCTGACTCTAGCCTCTGGTATGTACGGAATATTAAACATTAAACAAGCTCAACGCTCGAAACAATCGATTAATGTATCGTGATCGTGTGGAATTCGGGAAAGAGAATTACTTTTAATTCAGATTATGATCCGGTGAGTCACTAAATCTGGCAAATTCCGAAATCCGGTATATTCCGGATTCCGGAATCCGGTTGTTCCGGATACATGTAAATCCGGCAGAACCGGATTTCACCGGATAGTGCAAAATCCGGTGGAACCGGATTCCGGCACACCCCTAATGTGCAATACTTCTATCTACATATATTAGGGATGTATAATTAAATGTAGCTTTAGCTGCAACAAAAACATGTATTCATTGTAAAAATTTTAAAGTTTTATGAAAAAACAACAACATTAAATTAACTAGCTTAATGGCTTTTTAAGCTATGAATAATAAAAAAGCTCTATGAAAATGTGATTTCATTTGTCCTTATTTACGGTATACTAAGAATGTAACAGTAGTATTATGGATTGCACTACCTCATTTTGTGACTCAATAATACTGGATTTAGATTATAAACAGTAAAAAAAAAGTATTTGTTTCTTTAATACTTTTTAATTTAAGCTTCTGTTGCAAAAAAAAATAAATTTATTCAGCAAAATATCTTAATGATTGAATCATCATTACAATAACAGAGTGCAGAGGTCGAGTGAATATCCTAATAACTCATTGGTATTTGGTAAAAATAACACCAATCAAGGAACGTTCATTATTCACCCAGTTTCACTGATGTTGACCTATTCATTTAAAAAATTATTCCTGCATGCCGACATGCAGATGGATCATTATGATATTACTGACAAAATGAAGTGCCGGATGCAAAATCGAGCATATTGACTTTATTGTTGGCTATCACTCAGTCTCAGACAATTAATATGCAAGAACACAAAAGATGAAGAGAGGGGAGAGAATTGTGCAGTCTCAGCTTCGTTTTTACAAATTTTTTTTTAATGTGCATATATTAGATATTTTGTACTTGAATGTGGTATGTACAGCGCTTCGAGCCTTTGGGGATGGGGATGAAGCGTGATTTTTAAATAATCTTTATTATTATTATTAGATATTTCAACGACGTGTTGTCTGCAAAGAGGGTGGAAACAGGAAGAGTTGATTGTTGTGTGCATTTTCAACAATAATTAATTGAGCACTGAAAAGAAGCAATTATTTATAGGACTCAACTCGCCCTATTATCCAGTCACTTGGAATGAGAATTCCTGATTTACATAATTTATGCATGGATTTTTTTGTTTACACTTAGAAAAATTATGTATTACTTGCAAAATACGTCCCGTTTCTAAAACAAAACACATTTTCAAATCACTAAAACTTCCTAATTTATAATCAAGTAATATTTTGGCTACTGTGTAGCCAGTGCCAGTAGTGATGTGGGCTTGCATGATGGCTGCACTGTTCCCCCTCCACCACTTTTCAAAATTATTTTCGTTTATGATATGCCTCAGAGTTAAAAGTAAATTTTAAAAGATTTGGAAGTCACAAAATAGTTCAAATGAGCATATTTAAAAAAAAGCAGTTTATGGCGGAGGCCCCCAGACCCCTCTTTAACTGGAGGCAGAGGCGTAGAGAGAGTGTTTGGCACCTGGAGACAAGATTCATTTTAAAGTTAAATCACCCCCTTTTCTTTTTTCAACTCTCAAACCCATTATTTTCATAAAATAATATTAAAGCACATTTTGGCACCCCTAACTAGCTGGCGCCCGGGGACATCTGTTCCCCCCTTCGCTACACCTCTGTTTGGAGGGTATCCCCCAAACCCTTGTTTGGTGTGACCTGTTTTTTCCAGTTCATGATTTGGTCACCCTAGTCTAGGACCTATATTTACTAGGGTCCCTTGTTATATAAAAAAAATAATTGTTACAAAATGCAAGAACACCATAATCTATCAATGGAAGCCGCCATTTAAACACGAAGATGAGCAAGAAATGCAAGAAGCAATCTCATTACTAATGACATTAGCTGGTTATTTGTAAGAAGACCAGCCAGCCAATCTTGAGGTTTTGTATCTTTGGGCAGATGGATCGGCCCTTCATCATCATCTTTTCACTAATGACTCTTGGGCCGATAGATCAACCTAGTCTTTTCAGAGGGGTAAGTATATTTCATTAACACGAAATTTTGGCTAACTAACGGCTAAGGTCAAATATATTATTTCAATTTTGAGGAAANTTGGGGGGGGGGGGGGGGGGGGGGCGGGCTGTGGTCTAGCCAGAATCCTTATCAAGTTGTTCAGATGGGGTAAATAATAAAAAGTAAAAAGTAAACAAAGTCTGGAAAAATATAATTGATTTTTTTAACTTTATTAGGTTTACTAACAAGTTTAAGGCCCTACTTCCTAACTCTAGTATAGTCTGTTTAGACCTTTCCAACGTTAACATCATTGTCCTGCCAGTAAGAATATGTCTGACTGAATGTGTCACAGTAGCAGATTTGTTGTGAGACAGAGGCATTTATTTCTTTATTTATGCAGCAAATTAATGCCTCAAATTAAAAAGTGTTAGAGAAATTACAATTTACAACTTAGGAAAATGCATAAAACAAATTGATAAAGTCACAAACAGACTTAAGATATCTCTTAATTTGATAACACCTAGGCCTGCGTGATAAATGCGGTTAATTTTAATTGTGGAACCACCCCAGCCTTAGGCCTTAAGTCTAAACTCAAATTAAAGAACACAAACTTCGCTACAAAATCGGAAATAAAATCTACCGCACTGCAAATTTCACTTAGTACATATCTTTCAACAAAGTTTTTAAATGTGTTAATATAGTAAATTAATGCAGATGATTCAGATAAAGGGGCTACCTCGATCGTTCTTTCAACATATGCAATTTGACAATTATTGATACTAATCCACGGGTACTTGTTGGTTCCGTATCGGCCCTACAAGCCCTAAAAATGGCGTCTTACTCGCACAAAATATAGTGTTCCGCGATAAATAATAGTCCAATGAACGTTTAAGCTTTACAAAAACATATATTCAAAATTTGTAAAGATTGAATAATTTTAAAATATATTTTTAATTATATTTTTTTAACAGAAAGGTTTTATAATATTTAAAAATGCAGATGAGTTTGCGAATAAATTTAGGGAAAAAAGTACCTTGACAAGTGTTAAATGATGTCACATCCGCATTACACAAGGGAATCTACTCTCAAGCAATGAAAATTTTAAGTATGTTGTCTTCTTTTATTAGGGTACATGGGTTCTGTTTCTGTTTGGTAATGTTTCGTTGCTGCATCCAAGTACTGGCATCTTTGCAACGGTTGGGGATAAGATGTTGCTATTCTAACAGCTCCTAGCTGATGTCAGGGCAGCCTTGAAGCTTTCGAGCGATGTCGAGTTCACAGTGGCATCGTTCAGGTGGTTCCATGCTATTATTGTGCGTGGGAAAAAAGATTGTTGATACTGCACTGTGTTGTACCGAGTCACTTTGAAGCATTTGCTATTGTTTCGGGTGTAATTGTTTATGGGAATGTCAGTGGCGAAGTCAGTGTTTAGTGAGCGTTTTGCTCTGATCAGTCTACCCGGCTTCTGTGGGGTGAGGTACGTGCCTGCTGGGATGGCCGGCACCAGTCCCATGATCACTTTATATAAGAATATCAGGCGGAGTCCCTCTCGTCTGTCTTTAAGGGGTGAGATATCAAATCTTTTTAAAAGGCCCAGAGGCGTAGCGAAGGGGGTGCAGGGGGGACAGATGTCCCCGGGCGCAAGCTAGTTTGGGGCGCCAAAATGTGCTTTGATATAATATTGTTGGTAAAAATAACGGGTTTGAGAGTTGAAAAAAAAGAAAAAGGGGGCGCTTTAAAATGGATCTTGTCCCCGGGCGCCAAACACCCTCGCTACGCCTGTGAAAAGGCCAGTGACGAACCAGGAGTGGTGGATTTGTAGTCTCGAGCGATAAAACGCACCGCGTTACGTTGAATTCGCTCCTTTGTGTCCATGTCTTGCTTAAGGTGTGGATCCCGGATGATCCCACCATATTCCAGTAGTTCCTAATCTAAAGACACTTGCATTCGGCCAAACCGTGTCAAAGTTCGATTCACTGGATTACGTTCGTGCTTATTACCATTACTCTGAACACGTGTGGTGCACTTCTGCCATTACTTTGAACATGTACAGTACACTTCTGTCATTACTTTGAACATGTACAGTACACTTCTGCAATTACTTTGAACATATACAGTACACTTCTGCCATTACTTTGAAAATGTGCAGTACACTTCTGCCATTACATTGTACATGTACAGTACACTTCTGCCATTACTTTGAACATGTGCAGTACACTTCTGCCATTACATTGAACATGTACAGTACACTTCTGCCATTACTTTGAACATGTACAGTACACTTCTGCCATTACTTTGAACATGTACAGTACACTTCTGCATTTACTTTAAACATGTGCACTACACTTCTGCCATTACATTGAAAATGCACAGTACACTTCTGCCATTACTTAAACTACTATTCGCATGATTTTTATAATTTGCCCACAACGTAAATTGGAATTTAAAAAAAACAAAAAACTAATGGCATGACAAAATTAATTTAATTAATTTTTTGTATTGAATACATCAAAATTGCATTTTTTTACATTAAAAAATCACATCAATCAATACCCAAGTAAATAAAAAAACAAAATATAAAAGTTATTCTAGAGGAGGTGGCCATATTACAACTCCAATTATAAAAGTGTCAAATTGCCATTTGATCAAGTTAACAGGCTCCATCTGGGCCAATGATACCGGAATCTTGTCACTTTAGTGCACATATATCATGTTTGCATCAACTCCATCCCAGGGTATACAATTCCTGCATACATCATTCTCTGAGTTGTTAACTTTTACACTACAAAAGAGTTTAGTCTACATAATTTCTAAATTTTATCCCAAGTATGAGTATGAGACAAAAAAAACTCTAAATCGTCACTCCCTTATATTCTTTATCTGTTTATACTGTCATTTCATTTTAGACTAGTGGTTCCCAGGCGGTTCTGATCACAGATTTTCTAGAGTAAAAAAAAAAACAACATCATTTTATCTGAAACTTCCACCCCCAACTCCAAATAAAAAATATAAAATAAAAACAAACACAGTTGATCATAGATTGAAAAAAAAATTTAAACATTTCTTTATTAACATTATTAAATACAAGTTATAGTATCGACCAGCAAACAATGGCAAAGGCAATGGGTGAACTTCCCATCTACTAAAGTTATTTGACAAAACATGCATTCAAGTAATACACGATAAGATTGCCTATTGGTGCTAGCACTTTTTTCAACCCTTGAAGGACATTTATATTCTGCTATCCCACCCCTTTTAACACTGGAGAATTATTAGATCATTTTTAAATGGTGTGTTGTAAAACAAAATAAAATATTATGCACAAAATGGACTTGCTGTATTTTTAAGAATCTGATTTAGTGCAGTAATTGGGAATTTTATTTTTCACAACATTGAACTCACCATTTTTCCACACTTTCTTTCACAGAATTATATTGATTGACAGATTGTTTTGAGAATACCATTGGCTACTTAAAAAGTTACAATTCACAGTATTTACATTCAGCAGACCCAGTCAAACACAAAAAATCCTAAGACAGCTTTAGCTCGTATGCTTTCAATATAATAGTTAATGAATGATAAAACTTTTCAAGAGAAAATACAAAGCACAGGTTGTGTATTGGAATATTTGGTTCTTGAACAAGGAGTTTAAACAATTTTTCACCATATTTCTCTTCAGCGGATGCCATCAAGTCAATGTCAGGGTGCCTTCCTAAACACCTCCATGACCAGAACTGTTCTCTGGGTGAGTTGGTCCAATGTTCAGATCACCTGAGACCTCCTGATGTACAGTTGCTGCAGCGAGACTCTCCTGGGGTGATGGTGTGCCATCACGAAGGGGAAGTGACGAGCCATCCGGGACAGACTGACCAAGATTGAACGAGGACATAGTCACATCGGTTGTGTCTTGATGAGGTGATGACTGCCACTGCTGAGCCGGAGTGTCTTGTGAAGGTAGTTGCTGTGAATCACCGCTTTCGGCTGGTGGGTTCAACGCCTGACTACATGCCACTGAAGGCGGAGAATGTGAACAGCTCTGTTCTTGTGCTAAATCTACTGTAGCTGGGGGTTGTGCTGGCAATGGCGTAGAAACCTGAAGTTCTTGTTGTTTAGTTCTTCCTAGATCGGACCCAGTGTGAGATTCTGGTTGGCTATGTATCTGTTGTGACAAAGGTGTCTGCTCTGGTGGGACACTGGATGGAATTTGAGATGAAACAACTGGAACCTCTTCTGTTTGATAAGTGACTACATGTTCAATAGAAATAATGGTGCTGGAGTTCAGAGGTACGTTTGAGCTCTCTACTTGCTGGGAAACAGCTGAAGAACCAAAAGAGTTTGCCAGTGATGATCCAGTTACTGGTGCTGGGGTGTCACCACCAATTGTAACCGGTGCCCCAGTTATGGCACTGGTCAACACGGGGCTTGTGGTGGGTTGAATCCCACCAGACCTCATTCCTTCACTTGTTTTATCACATGTTATCATCTCCTCACCCTCATTTTTATCAAACACGTTGGCCCCGCTGTCATCTACCCCCTTATCCACTCTTTCCTTAGAATCTTCAAAACTCCCAGATTTTACCTTCTTCTTGTTTTTCTTCTTTTGCGCTTTTTCCTCCTGCTCTTTCTTTTTCTTCTCTTCTTCTTCTTCCTCTTTCAACTTCAGCCTCCTGCTCTGCCTTGCCCCCTGAATCCTTTCCTGTTTAGGCTTAGGTTCTGGGAGAGCATCACTTGCTTTTCTTTTGCGACCCCTTTTTTCAATTCTAACTGGGGTGTCTGTGTCTCCAGACACCACCTCCCCTACAGCAGTCTCCTGCATGACCGGACCCGCCCCCATAACTGGACCCACCCCCAGAACTGGACCCACCCCCAGGACCTGACCAACCTCTAAAACCTGACCCATACCCACAGCCTGACCAACCCCCACAACCGGAACCACCTCCATGACCTGACCCAGCCCTAGAATCTGACCAACCCCCACATTAGATTCGTCTAAAGTGTCCCCCAACACAGCACAGGTGGATTTGTCATCAATCATATTGATAGAAATCTCCTCCTCTTTGATGTTTGTCTCTGGCTTTATATCAGGTATGATGACTTTCACATTTTTCCTTGGTCTATAGGAAACAGAACAAAAATAATTGTAAAAAAAGCTTAAAATTATCCAGTGGCAGAAGCTATTTTGTGAATATTATGACATAACAAGGCTAAAATAAAAATTTATACCGACCAGTAAATTACTTTGTTTTAAAAATTGGAATCTCTTGTCAAATTTGAAGCTTAAATGTCAGCATGATCCCTAAATTAAACACTCCATTGACTGAACAATCAAGAAAATAATTCATGCACAGGCCAGCTTCCTTCAAAGAATGACTTACTGTGTTTTGGGTAATATCTTGGGACATCCCTCACAACTCTTACACTCCCAGTGGCCCGTTGGAAGGGCTGACAGCCCAATACAGAATGTGTGATAACCTCTGTCACAGCGATCACAGAACATCATTTTATCCTGGAAAACATTTTGACACCATAGTCAATGAGCGTCTGGCTAGTCAATAATATTTTGGGAGAATAGCCTATATTAAGTAAAAAAAAATAATTCCCTAATTCTTTTATATTAAACAAAATTCGAGATAACATAAAAAGATCCATTCATTAAAAAACTGTATACTGAGTATTCTTCACTACATTAGGGAATACTAATGAAAATAACATAACAATTATTGATCTTTAAAAATGCTACGTTTAAAAAAAAAACAGATCATTAAAAGTTACAAACCTCATCATAAGGATCAAGACATTCAATACACGTCTTACACTCCATACACTGCCAGGGGTAGGTCTTAATCACAGCCACCAACTCTTCAGTTAGGTCAAGACAGCTCATGTGACCTGGACAAAATTTTAAAAGACTTTTGATGTAATTTAGATTTTCTCCTTAACAAAATGTATCCAAAAGTGTGCATCTTATTTGCCACTGTGTTCTATACCCCCGGCAAATACAGTACATATTATTGCACATATTTTGCATTAAAAATTATGTGCTCAGGACAGGCAAGCGGCCCTTCCCACAGCCCTGGGTTTATATAGTAATCTTTATAAGAAGTAACACTGCAACCACAGTGTTACAGAGATTAACATTATATTAAAACAACTAAAAACACAGGTCACCATGAAGTATCATTGGAATTAATGAGAAAAATTCAGTAGTTACCTATTTTACCACATTCGGCACACTTGACCAGTTTACCGCTTTTTCTTTCATCTTTCGTTGATCTCTTCTTACAGATACGACATTTCTCAAGTCCATGGATCTGAGAAATGTGATCATGAAATTGATAGAATTATATGTGTTAAAATTTAAAAAAAAACTAGATTGCTCTAGAAAAACCAACCAGGAAAAGACCCAAAAAAAGACATGCGTGGAACAGAGAAGGACCAGCAGAACAGAAACCTAACCAGAGTGACAGCTCCTACAGAAACACCCAATAGACAGAATTGGCAATCCGTTGCCGTTTCCTCCGGTACGAGTCGGCACTCGAGGACTAAATGAAATACCTAGATGGGTGTTGTATTTGATGAAGCTGTGTTAAGTAATGGAGGCCACATATTTGGTTATTGCTGTTTCTCAGGGTACTCTTCAATAAAGAAAATTTTATCAAAGCAGAGATAAACAGCTGAAAGGTGTGAAGAAAATTTTGAGCTGCTAATAATAAAAATAATAATTATGAAAATACAAATGTGAATAATCACACAGATGGTCACAAATTCAAAAGCTAATCAATAATTTCTCACTTACTTTACTGACTGGACCAGTGTTTCCCAAAATTCAAAAGTTAATAAATAATTTCTCACTCACTTTACTGACTACACCAGTGTTTCCCAATCTTTTCTATTATTCACAACCCTTACAAATTGTTTAACTAACTCTCCCACCAACTAAAAAAGTAACGATGGCTTTTGAAATGTTCAAACAATGGACTTCTAAACTATTTATTGAATTGCAAGAGAACTTACATAATAAAATATATATATTTATAAACTTCTATCATTACTTAAGAGCTAATCTCTCCTCTGTTCTTTTCCTCAAACCCATTGAACAGCCACCTCGCACCCACTGCAAGAACGAAGGGGTTGGGAAACCCTGGACAAGACTAGATTAAAAAAAATAACTGCATGGGTGAGCAGCTCATGTTCCAGCTGGTCATGCCAGCCAAATAACCTGGTGACTTACTTTACCAGGCATCTTGCTTCCTCCATTCTCATCATCATCTTGACTAGTTTTATCATCCATTTTATCAGCATCCAGTTCTTTGTTCTTCTTCACAGACTTCTTTACTTTTTCAGGAGTTACGCCCAACTTGGCTGCTTTCTTCTTCGATGAAGACTTTGTCCTTTTCTCTACTTTTACAATGGTTATCTCACCATCATCAGGAACACCAGTTTTATTGTCCACACTATCATTCTCACCAAGGTTGTCAATATCTGGGCTGTCGTCTTCCTCTCCACTACTATCACTTTCTTCTCCATCAGATCCTGACACTAGTTTCTGTTGATTAAAAATTATTGCTGTTATTGTTTTAACAAAAAAATCCTTGCTTGAAACATTGAAGGGAAAATTGGGAACAGGACATTTGGTATGGAAGCTTGAAATATCAATCAGAACAATAACACAAACTTGGGAACAGGACATTTTGTATGGATGCTTGAAATATCAATCAGAACAATAACACAAACTTGGGAACAGGACATTTGGTATGGAAGCTTGAAATATCAATCAGAACAATAACACAAACGTTTTTGCTAAAAGCCTTTCTTCGTGCTTAAAACAAGACAAAATGAAGGAACTAGTAGAAAGGACTTAAGGATATCTGTAAATTAGTGTAAATGACATTACGCTACTGTGGCCTGATTTTTACCCCCCTCCCCAACACAAACCAAAGAAAGTTACCCCGAGCGGTAGATGGCACTATATTTCTACCTCTATTCAAACAAACTACAGATGGCACTATATTTCTACCTCTATCCAAACAAACTATAGATGGCACTATATTTCTACCTCTATCAAAACTATAGATGGCACTATATTTCCACCTCTACCCAAACTATAGATGGCTCTATATTTCCACCTCTATCCAAACTATAGATGGCTCTATATTTCCACCTCTAACCAAACTATAGATGGCACTATATTTCTACCTCTTTCTAAACAAAGTGATCAGCAACAAAAAGATGGTGTCTCGCCATAATTTTAGGTAATTTGTGCCATTTAATTTATGTTCTCAATATTTTTGTCATTCGTTACCACAAACAATTCATACCCATAGAATAAGAAATAATTCTAGCATCTTTTCCCGTTTCTAGTAATATTTTTCTATGCGAATTCTAAATGTAACATGTAATCCCATCTGGGTGGATAGACGTTGTAGTCTTTGCATTTTACTAATAACAAAAATAATTTTTGCCTGGGTATTTATTGATATGGCACAATGAAGTAGGAACCAAAGTAGGCCTTCTAACAGCATATAAAGCAACTCACCTGTTCTGCACTGACTAGCTTGACTCCAGCCGGTGGAGCACACACATATTTCACCAGCTTTGGGGGGTCTAACAGAGCAGTTTTGACAGGTAAATACTTGATCTCTTCTGATGAGTACCTTATGGTTTCAAATGAAAATACGCTTGAATAAATACAAAACTAAAGGGTGCATGGACCCCAGCTGACTCCTTAGAAAAGTAAAAGATTGCGTAAAAGCCCAGCGATTCAGTAAATACAATTTTAACAAAATCTAACTTGCTTTCATTCAACACTCTCAAATACCCAATACCAGTACAGATTATAAATGTAATCTTGAATGACTTTTGATTTAAAAAAATAAATAAATAAATAAATAAAATAATTTAAATCACTAACTTTTTATAATTATCCTGATACTGTCCTGCAATGAGAGCCACCGGGTACGCGCCAACTTTAGTGTATTTAGCTGGAAGTGTCTTGAACTTGTGCTTTGGAAAGTGAATAGTCTGTGGGATACATGACATCGTATTGAGATACCTAGGCCAAAAGTGGGATACTTGAGCTGAAATTTGGGTACTTGAGCATTGAAAAAGGCTGTGGGTAAATTTTTCAAAGAATATTGGGTCAAGCTCCAGAAGTGTTTTCAAACTGCTCAGTCATTTTGTTTAGTGATAAAATTATATTTTTTTTAACTGAGATAAACTAACATAGGTCTGAAGGTCAAAGTAAGCCCTCCTTTCTTCCTTCCTGTCACGCATCAGGGTGGCATTAAATTCAGCCGCTGATCTGGCTGCTTTCTTGGAATAAGCTTCGATCTTGGACTTGTCCAGTTTAGCCTGTCAATCAATAGTAATAAAGAGTTTATAGAAGCATAGTAGTGATTCTGCAATGTCTGATATAAACAAAAGTCTCATGTATATAAAAGGTTTCACAGAAAGTTGAACCAAAACATGATAAACATATGTGAACATTTTGGTAATGAATTATACACTAGCAAAGTATCTTATTATTACTGCCTGAACCATTCACATCCAATAATCAATTAATCATTTTAAAATCTATCATAAGAAATATTCATGCACTCACAACCATATATATTTATATAAAGCTTAACTTTATTTATAATCAACACAATGTATGTACAAGTTTTTTTAATGTATAGTGTCATCTCAAAATGGTGCGCTATCTTTCACTACTTACTGCACTGTATTCTTTATGTTTATCTCTGATGACTTTTTTCTGCTTCTCTTGTAGTTGCGCTATATATTCCTGATTGAAAGAGTTCAAATGAGGCATTCTAAGGAACCAAATTAATCAAAGCAGAAACTTTGTAAGCAGATGTTTAGTATGTTTTTAATAATTTAAGAAATTGTTTATAGACTCTGTAACAATGACAATGCCAATCTTCATACCTTATACTTCTCATTATAATCTTTCATCATCAAGTCATACACCTCCTCGCTTCTAAGTGCTGTCAAACCTATTGATGGAATCATTTATAAGAGTTTACAATATAAAAACACAAGGGAAGTGCCAGCAAGAAGAATCTCAACTTAATCCTAAATTATATATAAATATATTTCTACCGGTAACTATAGCTGGGCCTGTGTGGATGGAATTATTTTTTTCTTGCTGCCATTTGTTCAAATACAATGCCAAATCAGGCAGGTAAACACCCTATGGTTATGTGGAAAGTTTCAAATTTCTGTCAGGGCCCCTGCTGTGCAGATGACAGCATAATTATGGTTCATAACTCTGGTCTTGTGACCACATCAACACAGGATGTTTGGGGGCTAATTATCTCCCCTTGGTGACACTGCTTGGTCACAGCGTTAGCCCTGGGGCACACCAGCATGTTTCTCTTGGGCAAGCTGTGAGCTGGCGGCGATGATGGTGGTGTCATATGGCACCTTAGCAGACTTTTAATTTGACTACTCTGCTGCATAAAAAAAAAATCAACTTGCATTTAACTAAAAGATGCTTGCTACAATTTAAAGGTTATTGGCTCTCTAAAAAAACAAAAAACTACAGATGAAATATCACTTTAATTTATTAATAGGAACAAATAAATCATCACATTACATAGTATGAAAACATCAAAGAATTTAACTTTTTTTTTTTCAATGCAGCATCCTCAGAAGATGAAATTAAAAGTAATTTTTATACTTTTCTTCCTTAAGTGATTCAGTTGGGTCACTGAAATTGATGACCATGACTTACATCATTTTTTTTTCTCATTCATTTTCAATCTCAGCTTTCACTCATTTCCTACTTGGCATGTACCCTAACCAAAAACAAACGAGAAAATTAGCTGACTGCTGAGACAATAGCTGCATCACCTGCTGGGTGAAAATGAAATAAGGAGACACCATGCGGCGCTCTAGTCACAGTTCAGTCTTTACCAATCACACAGCCCCCACCTCTGTCAAGATTTGCAATTAACTAGCCACACGCTGGTGGCGGCAGAGGAATCTCTTGATGGTGGCCTCAAGCTCGGCCTTATAAATAGTACTCAAGGTTTGTTTCTCTGTCACATTTTCGAGAGAAATACATTAACTACAGAGGTATGTAGCATTGATCCTGTTCTCAAATAATGTCTTTGTAGTATTCAAATGATGTCACAAAAATTGGTATATTTTTAGAAACATACATTTACAAAAACACAAAAAAATGAAAACATATATAAGTAAGCTACAGATTTTCTTTTAAAAATTATTCTATGATCTTCATTTATCACAATATTTTTTTTTTAAACTTGATTATTAGATATATGAAATTTAATTGCCATTTGCTTTTCATTAAATTAATTTTTTTATTTGCTGCAAAGATTTCAGATATTTGACATATATTTACAAAAACCATACTGCAAATTAGTACACAAGTAACTAAGTTTTATACATTTAAAGAATTTACATTTTATATGCTTGTAATGACTTACCAAGATCTGACTGGGTTTCAGTAACAACTCCTTTCTCTCTCAAAAAATCTTTCTCCTCCTTGTCACATGTACGCCTATATAGATCTGATATTTTAACACACATGTTTTATTCGTCAAAGTAAAATTTACATGACTTATGACCATATAACAGGCTTAATCTAATAACCTGCCAGATTTATTCTAGCAATTATTTTGTAAGGATGTGTGAATGTAATAGATTTACTTTCTCGATCCATAAAAGAATTATAATACAATAATATTTATGTATCTTTATATGCTTAACAGCAGGTCTGAAACAGAGTTTAAAAAAACAAAACATAGATTATTAAGACAGCAATTAAGCAATACATTTAGTCCAATACAAGATCTGTATAAAGCTAGATCAGCAGTCGGCAAACTCATTCGTCAAAAGAGCTAAAAATCAGCAGCAGGATGATTAATTTTTTTTAAAGAGCCAAATTTCTTTTCAAGAATCTATCAAAGCCCATGTTTTTGGGAGTCAAAACCGATTTGTGGCTGACTGGCCGAGAGCACTCAGGTGGCTGAAGAGCTGTATGCGGCTCACAAGCCACGATTTGCCGACCACTGAGCTCGACCATAACTAGTGCTAAGAATTTACATTATAATAAATGATATTTTCATCTGATTTCATTCTGACATAAAATGATAGCAAATAAACAAGTGGGTTTACTTAAAGGACATTAATAAATGGAGTATGTGAGTGGGCCCTGCTGGCAAAAGTTAAACATAATGACAAATCACATAGCTACCTGGGTACTTTCTTTTGAATGATTTGATTTTGAGATACTCGCTGACCTGCTCCTGCAGCATATGCCACTCACCACCATCTAATGGCCATTGGTACTCGAACAGATTCTCAGCACTGAAAATTCTCCTTGATAAAAAAAAAATAATGTCCAATTACAATGAGTTTAAGAAACAATGAACTATATAGGATAAGATTTTAAGGAAAAGTAACAAAGTTTATTTTAGACACAGCCCTGCCGGACAGTATGAAGATTGGGATGTATGGTTGGCCATGATAAGGCTGAAAACCATTGGCCACTGATCAGTAAGACACAGCATTGAAAATGGTCTTGGATTCAAATCCCACATCATTAATTGGACACACCATTTATCCTCCCACCTGGGAGACAAACAGCTTACTACAGAAGCTAATGTAATGCAATTAATGCATGCTCGTCAGATGAACTAGACTGATTTGTTGCAAATAGATAAAAATACAGGTGTACATCTTTAATATAGCCAATCCCCTTTACTCTTAAGAAAATGACCTAAGCTTCCTAATGTGCTAATCATTTAAACTTGCAAATGAAGTATAAACATTACTTTGAAAATATAATGAATATTTCATATTAAAATACTTGAAAAGAAATAGATTTGGTTAATATTGAAATAGTATAGAGTTTACTAGGAAAAGTACGAGTGAATGAGTTATTTATAACTTAAAATTAAAAAAATAAAATACATAATTAAAATGAAAGGCAACAATTACTTACTGTCCAGCCTCCAGACTCTCAATTATACTAATGCCAAGACCTTCTCGACTGGCTCTCCTAGCCTTCTTTGAAGGAGGAGTCTCCATATTAGAATCTGAAGCTGCCGAGTCTTTAGTTGCATCATCAACACTCAGCGTGTTTATCAGGCGCATGTCTTCAGTGTCAGCTGTGGCTGACATTTTTGTATCAATATCGGAGATATCTGAGTCTTTAGTGTCGTCCGTTTGAAACAACTTTTTAGGAGGTAACGAAGGATGGGTGAAAGGGGCCTCAATAACATTGTTGTCGACAGGGGTCTGGTCTAACCCCATTCTGGTCTCTTCGTCAATGTTGAAAACTTTTTCTGGGACGTGCGTGTGCACATTCTTCTGATTTACCAACTCCCTTTCAACATCATTATCAACGCTGGTGTTGACCATCGGAGTATTTTTTATGTTAGTTCCTAAAACACTGAAGTTGCTTGGCTTGAGAAACTTTATTTCAGGGTTGTCTTTTTCATCAGCAGAAGTTTGAGAGCCCTCCGTATCCTGATGCACATGCCTGACAGGTTGCCCAGGCTCATCATTGTCGGCAAGGAGAGCTTTCTCTGCAGCATCATCTATTTCCCCAACACACCCAATTTCTGAGTTCCCTTTGTCAATATCAAGCAAATTATTTTCTTCTCTTAATTCTGCAGCATCTTGTCTTCTTTTCTTTGATTCACTTTCTTTCTCTGGAGCATCAATATTTCTAACACCATCCTGTTCAACTACATGGGCTGAAAAGTGCTTTGCGTGACTCTCTCGCTCTTCAGTGTCCATACGGTGAGTCGAAATAGGAGGCTCATCTTTACTGACCTCGTTTTCTGATATACCAGAGGTTAATTCTTTATGACCATCGATATGGCAGACAACATGGAAGGCTGAGCCGACAGAAGGTGCTCCCTCCTCAACAGCATGGTGTAGGAATTCTGATGTCATCTCTTTGGGTGAGAAAGATTCAGAGATGCTATCAGTGAACTTTGAACACTGTAAAACTTTACTGTCATGTTGCGACACAGAACTTAATTCTGCAGGTGGATTTTGTACTTGCTCTTTAACCTTAAATATGAATGTATGAAAAAACATTTTACTTTTTTTTTAAATGGAACCCCTTACCGCTTAACTCAAATACTGAAAATTGAAACAATGAATATATGTGCCTTTAAAAAAAATGAAATACAACTTATTTGCATAATTGGCAAAGAAATAATACAGGGTCAAATTCTTCTTTTCTGTGAGACGAAACATAGGTTGTCTTGATATCACTGGATGATAACTGTCTTTGGTTCCTAATTAATGTGTCCTGAAAAGTTACAAATTTGCTGTTTTTTTAAAAAAAATCATAATATGGTTCAGGCACTTATGGCAGTTCAACCATTGAATATTATAGTAGTAGCTCCACTTAACAGAAGGCCTCACAAAGCACATTTATAAATGTACTATTTGAATAAGTAAAGGGGAACAAAAATGAAATTAAAAGTTCAAAACCAATCACGTTTTACGCTCTTTAATCAGTGAAAACATGTGTCAATAATATTATCTGTGATCAAGACTAATGTTAATGGCAACTACATAATTATCATACATTTTTATTTTTCTTTATGGAACTTTTAATAAATAATTGTACTTGCAGACACTATTTCTTTGTTTTGAATTGCGCAAAAGGTTTTGTACTAAGGTACTAAGATATTTTTCAAACAACTTCCTATTCTAACTTACACTTAGACCTTTATGAATGATTACTGCAATTGCTATTTATGGGTATTGTATAGACCATACTATTGATTTTTCTGTCCAAAAAATAATAATTTTAAATTGTATTTTTTTTTATTACTATAAATAAGAAAATAGTAAGAAATTTTAATTTAAAATTGAATTGGATAAAATAAAGCCTACTTAATAGTTATGGCTCAAAACTTTTCAGACTACTGACATTTGGAGTCAATAGACCTACAGCAGCCAATGCCATGCCTTCTAGTAGAAGTAGTAGTCCTACTGAGCTACTGTGTATGATATAAGATAAGTGTACTCAAATCACACATCTAGCGGTTCTAATTTGATTACTACCTTCTTTCTTCCTGACTATCTCAGAACCTCAAAAGTATATAAACTACAGCTTCTAACTGAAGTATTGCTTTAAAAACAGTGAACAAGATTACATGGAACCACTAAAAGAGGAGAGAAATTTTTCGTGTGCTAATCATAGAAAAAAACTATTTTTATCTTAATTGTAGAAGGATAAAATACATCACTCAAAATTCAATTTCTTATTAAAAAACACTAGGGCAGGGGTTCTTAATATTTTTGCAGCACCTCCCCTTCTCTTTATTTCATAACATTTCCCGCGCCCCCATTTCGATTTCAAAACATTTCGCACATCCCCATGTTGGAAAATGCTAATAAAAATGGGAATAAACCTGATTTTTCTGGGTCTTCCTGCACCCCTGAACCTGCCTCCTATTCCCCTATAAGGTGCAGGCAACTGGGTTAATAAACTCTGAGATAGGGTGACCATTTCTCTGTGAATCAAGCTTGGAAAAAGTTACCACATTTTATAAATAGCCAACTATTTATAAGAGTTGTAGGCTTATCAAAATTTTGTTAGAGAAAATATGGATCAAATCTTTAGCAAGTAAAATAACGCATATAATTTAATAATATATGAGGCAGCATAGCTAATATTTCTTGCAAGGAACAAATGAGCAGGAGCAGATTAAGCAATCTTCCAAACTGGTGATCAAATTATTTTTATGCAACCATTTTGAAACTGTTGGTAATTCATTCAATTTTTTCTATATTTCGTCACTTACATAGGTATTTATTTATTCTTAATGCACATAATTCTCCGATGATAACACATCAACTTGTGCAGCCTCACACATTAATAAATTTGATTTATTTAAAAGAATTATAACTCTTTAACATATTTATATTATAATACATTAAGTAGATAAAAAGGTGTCCATAATTTCCACTTGATCAACAAAGGTGGGGAGGGAGAGCGGAAAACAAGGACTCCCAGCCAAGTATCCAGGGTGAAATTGGGGAAGGGGCCTGAGCAGCAATGCATTTTGACGCATAACTGAATTTAGCTTTGCATCATTCAACACTTAACCGTTAACAACAAAAGTTATGTGGAGTATTTAGGTTCCCTTTTAGCTGAGTTTATTTAAATTCTTTTAATTTTAGTAGTTCCTAAGTAGTAATATTTTCTAATAATTTTTATTTAAAATTATTAATTTGAATATAACTTTTTTTTTCAATCCGTCCAAAAGAGGGCCCAGTACACCTTTATTATATGGTGCATGAAAGCTAAAGTCTCTGATGTATTTCAAATTTGCGTTTATGCCAAGAATGAAATTAATCGCTAATTGATTGAAGAAATATGTTCATTTATGATGCATAAAGCTGGCCACAATATTTAATATGGTGGGCTGCATGTGAGATGGGACCCCTGATTTAAATGATCATGTCAAGGCAGCCCTCAACCTTCCTGGATCAGCCAGGCCTAGTAGACTAAAAAAGTTTGGTTAAATTTTGTTCAGTGCGCCACTTTGAGTTTCAGCATAGGATTACTTGGATTATTTTTTTGTTTATTCTTCGATTGTTACTAGAATTACCTTTTTTTTTCCTTTAATTTTAAATTATAATTTCATTGGGTGGCTAATTATAAAATTTAAATTTTCAGGCATTTTGGAAAATGGGAATAGTCATGACTATACTATTTATTTTTCTGAATTACTACTTTTTGATTTTATGTTTGGTGGAGCCTGCAATTAAGTGTGTATAAGTGTATTCAAGGAAACTGTAAATTGTGTTCTCATTTTTAAAAAAATATTGTGTATTGTTTTTCTTCATTTGTACTTTCCTTACCACAGTGTGTAACTGTAGCACTCGTTTTTTAACTGACCAAGGGGAGCAAAACCAGATAGTTAAGACTTCTTGCTGCATATCTAGAAAGATACAATAAAGTAGCTTTGTTCGCCACAAAATTAATGTATAGGCTGAAATTATTTCATTTAATAAAGGGAAGCGTTATACGCAGTCGACTGCGCATAACCCTGAGGGTTATTCACAGCCGACTGCGTATAACTCTCAGGGAATTTAGCCAAATAAGGTTATCAATCGCTTGTTTGGCAATTAAAAAAAAAAGTATTATGCGTAATTAGCTGCATAACGGGTTGTTTTGAACTATAACTTTTAATGTGTTAAAATTGAATTAATTTTAATTAATATTGAAATTGATGATAGCAATAGTATTAGTATTAGTGCTATTATTAGTATTATTGCTTGTATCTTATATATTATAATTATAAGTATAAGTCAAATTCTACATTTCTTAGAGTCTAAGCCTAAGTCTAAGATTTTTTAAAAGGCACTTCCATGGTCTAAGTCTAGTTATATATTCTGATTGATTCGGTTTTTATATTTTGCTATGACCATGTGGTTGGTTTTACTAATTCAGGAAATAAATTCGATTTATTTTTTAAAAAAATTTATCATTTATGATTTTTTTTTTTTTTTGATGACATATATGTAACAGTTTTCAGCTTCCATGCAAAGCTATAATTGAGTGAAAGTATTACTTACAGTGCCCCCTCTACAGAACCCCTGCCCCTACAGCGATTTTTTTACTGCTACTCTCAATCCATGATTATATTTATTACTGTACCAGAGAAACATGATTTTATCTGCCACAAAATTAGTTAACAACACAAAATATATGTTAACAACACAAACTTATATGTGATAATTATAAGAATAACATTATTCACATTACATTGGTCAAGTTAATAATTCTCCAATTACCCCAAAGCAAAACAAAACAAAAAAATCGTTAAATAATGGCTGAAAATGTTAAAAATTGATGGAAACGCTCTTTACCAAATAGGACAAGGCACTGAGAAAACGCTTTCACAATCGTTCCATACAACCTGGTTTTACCCAAACAATTTTGAAACCTGAAATACATACCGATGAATTAATATTCTCAGATAAGTCTGTATTTGATTTATCAGTGGTTGGTTGCAGAAACGCTTCGCTTTGTTCAGTGGGAGACGCCATTTTCGGAAAGGTATGATTTTTATCATTTCCACACACATGAAAGTTCTACTATGTAATGGGAAATGACTGCTGATGTGATAGCTAACAAGTTATCTCTCTTCTTTATTTTTACAAGCATCTACACCCAGCCAAATTTTCAAATTATAAAAATTCCACCAGTTTGCCTTTGCTGCAACAATCTTTGGAACATTTGAGCTATAAATCTATCTTAACATTTCTTGAAAATTTACTCTAGGTCCAAATGACCCCCTAGGATTGGAATTTTTTTTTATTTCCCGTTTCTAAGTTTCTAACGACTGACATAAGCAGCAATTATTTGAACTTGATTGGTTGACTATCTCTCTGCATCTATAAACTAAATAGTTACGCTTATTCTAGGTTACCGGACATTTTTTAAAAAGAAATTTTATCGAACGGAAGTTTGGTTGAATTTATTTTTCAGTTCACACGACCAAATTTTCGTTAAATTTCTTTTGAACGCACTTTACTATACAGTTTAACAAAATAGTGCGGGGGTAGGGGGTTATAAATTGCTTTAAAATTGTTGACTTAATTAATGGACGCCCCCTTTGTATTATCTCCAGTTGCCTCTCCATGGATCCGAGTCAGCTACCGTGTGATGAAAGTTACTCCATACGGCCTTCTTACAACACCAGGACCAATGTCCGAGACGAACACGCCAATCTCAGCATCTCCGCGGTCATCTCCACGTCCTGCATCGTACTAGAGGGCCTCAGGGACATCGGCTGCTCAACGCAAATCCAGGGTCAAAGTTCAACCTCGAACCGCTACCCACCAAGGAATGAGCACCCGCCGACTGCCTCGTATGTGCCACCGACTTCCACGTATGGTAATCATTTCGATGACATCTCCCCGAGTAACAACACGCTTCAAACACATTACGGCAGTAGCTTTTTTGAGTCTGCTGCGACCGAGTTCACCACCAGCGGCTGTGATAACATCGCAGATTACTCCGCGCCGTACCGGAGCGAACATTATTCTTGTTCGCCATCGCTGCCGCTGAGTAATGAGGACTGCGTTTGGTCCAGACCACACAATACGGTACACCAGTTTCACGTCAACCATCACAGGAAAATTCCCCATCGAGGTGTCGAGGCCGAAGTATTAAAGAAAACGGACAGTTCGGAGTCGCCGCACGGTCTCGGTCATTCTATGAATTATGAAAATGAGTATCCCAAATCTGGCCACAATGCCGGTTTCCCCGAAAGCCATCACGCGCACCCTGATATTCCACACCGAGATGACAGCTCCCGTTTTGTTCCGATGCAAGGCCACCCAGCCCATTGTTTATCACAAAACGATGCGTACTGGGAAGACGGGCCCTTGTATCCCAGTTGCATGTCGTCTGATTTTGACGACCACGGCCGACTTTCCTCCTCACAGTCATTTCAATATGGCGGCGGACCAATCGGGTCTCACCTGCATGATCCCAGCGATAACTTCGATTTATTTAACAACGTGGGGTTGGGTCACTTAAACGACTCGTCGTCGCAGTGCCCGGCCATCTCCCCAGAAGACTTGTCCACGTCGCTACACTTTACACCGGGCTCAAACCCCAACGGTTTCGACACCATCACTGGAAGCAGCGGTCAGCTTTTACCGGCTGGTGAAAACACGTTCTTGGGGGATTCGTTTCTACACGCGGACAAAACAAGACCACAATTTAGCGAGGCGGGTAAACACGACAGAGCTTGTGATCAGGGGTACGCTGCAGGCGCGCACGACAATTATGTGCAAAATAAACCAAGCGCATCTTCTGAGATGAAATGTAGAGCGCAAGCCCGCGTCGATGGGAGCTTGCTGAACACAAACCCGGGTTCCAAGGCGGACGAAACGATGATGAGCCCAAAGGAATACAATACGACCCCTCAGACGGATCCTCTGGCTGGTGATTGTTCCACCAGTAAGAAATCAGAAACTGGCCCTAAGGTTAAACCCAAGGGTGCCGAGACAGTGGAAACCTTGCAGCAACAACTAGAACTCATGGAAGAGAGAAGGAAGAAGTTGCCGATCTCTTCTAACGGGTTGCGGTATCGAATCAACGGAGGAGGTGTTACCAATACGAGTGACAGCGATAGCGCGACTTCGGTTGTTGATGTAGATCACATGATCAGCAGTGGAGTCACTGTGGCAGGCTTCAAACCACGGGCCATTATAAGGTTATTGATGTATTATATTTACATAGTGCACAGGCAACGGTCCGATAAAGGCATTTTACGGGGAAAATATGAGGGGGGGGGGGAGGGGGGAGG